ACAGCAGCAATCAGGGTTGATTTCCTTTAGGATTAACTGGTTTGACCTCCTAAGAGAATGTGGACCCAATGTCTTGTGCCAGTCCCATGTTCTGGCCCCCATACTCACTCCCAGTGCCTGGTCATTGAGCCTTAGGTGGCCCTGGATTCTGGCTGTTGCTGCTGAATGCCAGGGTGGTGTCTAAGAAGACTCATCTCATCTGGGATCTGATCTTGGCTGAGAGGGCCAACCCAGCATGTATTACCAAGACCAGGCTAGGCACAGAAATGGGGGGAGGGTGCCCGTCTCTGAAATGCACCCAGCCAGCTTTCAGCTTTGGCACCAGCCATGACTTGGGAGACTCTGGAGGTTGTTGAGAATGCTGCCCCACAGATAACTGGCCGTGGGACCAGTGGGGATTGCTGCTGCTGTACCAGCCTCCCTGCTCTATGGCAGCTTCCACCTCCACGCTGCTCGATGCTGTGTCTGAATTGGCAGTGGAGTGCCCCCGGCTTATGGTGCTGGGGAAATTCAACCGGCCTTCCGTGGGCACAGATTTGGAGGCAGCCCAGGAGTTCACGGCAGCCATGGGCCTGGGACAGTGGCAATGTGATCTGGACGTGGGGGACAGAGATCACTCCCTGTTAACCCCAGAGTTCCCCAGGGCAGGGAGGCTGGACCTATTTGGTCACCTCAACCCAGAGGCTTAATGGACTCAGGTGGGCTCCCATGCGTGAGCTGACTGAAGTTTTAGTCACCGCTTGGAAATAGGATGACAATGGCCTTAGAGCAGACCACACCTGTGCAAAGACCCCGGCGGCTCCCTGGTTTACAGAGGGCCTCCAGAGAAGTGGCAGAAAAGAAAGCTGGAGTGCTGCTGGAAGAAGTCAGAAGCCTTTGTTAGGGCACTGCTTGTGGCAATAAGAGCAGTGAAACCTGCTTATTTTTCTGTTCTTCTTCCATATTCCTAGTGTCAGCTGGTGGCCCTGTTCACAGGGACCTGATCCCTCCTGGGTCAGGAGGAGTTTGGGGAGTGTCTGCAGGGCCGCTGTGAGGACTATTCTCAGTACTTGTACATAGTAGGACTCCAGCTAGGTCCTATGGAGGTGACTGAGGCACAGTCTTATGATGTTATCTGGGATGAGTTTGAGCCTGTTAGTCCAAGGAAGTGGGCAGGGTTCTCAGTGCTGTGAGTGCTACTGCTTGTGTTTTAGATCGATGCCCCTCCTGGTTGGTTAAGACTTCCAGGTAGGAGGTGAATGAGTGGAACCACGTAGTGGTGAATGCTTCTTTCAGAGAGGGGGTGGTTCTGCTGGCTGCAAAAGGGTCAGAGGTCTACCTCAAGAAGCCATTTTTGGGTCCCGTGGATTTGGACAACTTTAATCCAGTCTCCAACCTTCCATTTTTAGAGAAGGTTGTTGAGAAGTGGCCAGCCTACAGCTCTTTCAGTGAGCCCTGGGAGATCATCTGTCAGCATAGTGGAAGAGCCAGTTGGGTGTTGCGGTGAAGGTGCTGGCCTAGAAACAGGAGACGGTGAGTTCTAGGCTTCCCTTGGGCAGGAAAGCCAGCTGGGTGACTCTGAGCCAGTCCCTCTCTCTCAGCCCAACCCACCTCACAGGGCTGTTGTTGTGGGGAAAAAAGGAGGCAGGAGAATTAGGTATGTTCACTACCTTGAGTTGACCAAATATTTTTTTAAAAGGGAGGAGGAGGAGGAGGAGGAGGAGGAGGAGGAGGAGGAGGAGGAGGAGGAG